ATTATGTATTTGTGACGTTTTCAAGTGTCATTCAGGTTCGGAAAATAATAGTTATAATATTTATCGAGCCGGAAAAACCATGTCGATTATAGAACATTTTTTCGTTTACCAAATATTTTTTATCCATTTGATAAATCGCATGTTAGATTAATATAAAAAAAAAACCTTTATTTTACCATTGTAAAGCAGCGAAAAAAAAAATCAATCGTGTATATTAACCGGAAACTTATATTTTATAAAGCTCTATATTTCCACTATGTAATAATTAAATTTAAAAAAAAACCCCCAATCAAGACGACATTGAAAAGTTCCATTCAATTTTTCAAATATATACTGCAACCTACTCAATATATATATTTACTTAAGTATATTGTAATATGATTGCCTATGATGCGGTGGCAGATTTACATTTTTCTTGGTTCCAAACACCAGGGCAGTTTCGGTATAAATACAATAAAATTGGAAAATTGTAGCCATCGTCCGCAGATTTCGATTTGATTAGGAAAAACAGCGCCGCCTCGCATTCATTTCCATAATCTTTGCTTTCATTACTTAATAAAATATATATATACTATCTCCGCTCTCGCTCTCTCTCTCTCTCTCTCTCTCTCTCATTCTCTCTCTCTACTCACTTCTCCTGCCCAACAATGCCATTTTCGTGTTCATGCTACTAATGAGATAATATATTTGACCTCACTCTGCTCACACTCTATTCACATTCACAGCTGCTGTTCTCCAGTCTTGTCTAATGTCCCAAACCCTTTTCACCACTTGTATATCTTCTTCGTGCATGTTCCACACCTGACATCACGTATTATCCGTTTTAATACGTTCATGTCGTCTCATCTTCTTTAAAGTTATTATTAATTACTACTATAAAATGTGTATTTTTCGTTTTAGGACGTTATAGGACTTACGGTTTAATACACATATTATATCATAATAGTAATAATAATAATTTTAAAGAAGACCAGACGACGTGACGTATTAAAAATATTTATTTTATAATACATGACGCCAATTCCCGATATGATATTGTTTTGTATGCGATTGAATTGATATTCATGAAAACACTACAACTGCAGGGGTGATACGATGTAAATTAACTTTACTAGATCTGTTATTGAAAACATCCGTCGTCGTGCTATGAATACACAAACGACGACAACTTGTGGGTTCGATGAATAAAAGGTAATTTTTTCTGTGAATAAACGTTATTACTTATTAAACACACGGTGAAAACTGTACCCAAGGCGATTGCCTACATAATTCGAAAATCCTACATTAATAGACATTATACGAGTATTTGGTCCGGTAAAATTATATTACCTATTCAAACGTTGCAGATGGACAGTTTTTGTAAGACGAAATAAGCACCGTCGTATATTTACACTATAATTCTGCCTAAGCATTTATCAAATATTTTACCGAAGAATGTACCTTGGTCCTAGATTTTCAAAATTGACAATAAATTAACACCCCGAGTTTCAGATACAAGCTGAAAAAAACAAATTACGTGATCGGTTGAATCATCGTGTTATAAAATTAATAATATTTTACGTGTATTCAACAGAAAAACAAACCTAACCATTATGCGAAAAGAGAAAAAAACAATCAGCAGAAGTCGTTATGAACACACGGTAGTGATTTTTAACTGGATAATTTTTTTTTTTTTTTTTCGTTCACTGGTCCCAAAACTATAACCAATCCATAAAGAATTATGCGGTACCTGAAATTTTTATTTTCATTTATTCAAATATATTTATGTGCCACGATTTAATATTTCTCGGCTAATTTTTGACGTGATATTAAATGTTAATTTTTTTTTTTTTTTTGCTCATGAATTAAAAGCTATATTATTCTATAATACGAAAGGAAGAAATGTAATCGTAATCATGTGGTGTATATATAATGTTATTTGTTGGTAGTAGCGATTAGATTGTTTAGCTGCAAGTTTTGTTTTTGAAAAAATAATGCCGACGAAGAAAAGTGCTTATTTATAAAATACGAAAAGTTTATCCAACTTGCAAAGTAATAATATCGTTCATATTGTTTCGGTCGCACACGTGCGTGCTGCGTATATACGATGATAGTATAAAGGTTTTGTCGGACCGTAAAACATGTTCTCGGACATTAATAGAAGTATTATTGAGAATAATGGCTGCTTTGACGCAAGGCCTATTGTGTTCGATTTGCTGAAAGTTTGTTTGACGTACATACCACCAACGAAATAATACTAGTACGTTTTCTTTTAAACCAATTATTTACTTCATCGATTTGTTTGAAACTGCACCCCCTCCCCCCCTTGCAACAAAAATACTCGCGTCTGCTGCCAGATCTCGTTTCATTAGATCAGAAAGCGATGACCTGCCCGTGAAACTACTTTCAGAATCAACTTTTAAATTACTGTCCGTCAGCAAGGGTGATACTGAACCTTACTGAACCCACGGACGCCACGAGTCAACACACTAATAGTATGTTCATTTTTCAAAACAGCTCTTTCTGAAAACGTGATTGTTCACTATATTCCGCACAATATTCGAATTGACGGTTGATTTTATTATTAGTTCTGATGAAAATATTAATCGTCTATATTATACTCTGCGATTTTACGCGTACCTATATATTATGTGCTCTCTTCGAATTTCCATTCCAGTAAATTCCACGCATCCAAAACGCGTACGTTTTTAAAAAACGCAAAACACATAAATAATTATTAGTTGGGTAGTTGTAAATTCGATTTAATGAAAAATGCGGAATATTCATAAATGTCACGGTAAAATATGAATATTTTATCATTTTAATCCCAGCGCATGTTATATTTGCTTTTATACTGAATAAAACTATTTTTCCATTTTAAATACATTGTGTGTATAGTTAGTGTATAGTTAAAATTAGTTTTCAATCCGTAACAATTCTGTAACAATTATATTGCGTTCTGGTTCTTACAATGGCTACTAGTTTCAACGAAAATAAATATTCATAAGCGCACTTCAATATCAATGAGCGGTAATACGATTTTTCCCCCATGCTTATTGTACAGCAGCGACAGAAAAAAAAAATCAATGCACTAATTTATGTAATTAACGGCTACTATACTTGTAGAGAGCTTAAACGACTGAACTAATGGGGTTTTTGCCGTTTCGTTCAGACTTCAACGTAACGTCGGTGATTTTCACGACTGTGTATAGAATGGCGACGTAATCATTATGGATTGGATGACATGGGGACAGGTTACTCGAGAGCTTTTTTTCCTTTCATATTAACTTATGACAATACGGCAAGATTATGATAAATCGAGTACATAGTATGTAAAGTCCTTAATCTGAAATGTAAGATTATTTTATATTTCTGACGTTGTTCGAACTTGGAATGTGATAAGAAACAAACTTGTATTGCTGAGTTTTCAAGTTTTTTAAAATATACATACCGTACGTTTATGAATTAAATAAATTTATAATTCCATAATAAAACTCGATACTTTCTATAAAAACTGTCCCAAATACGAGGCAGTTGAAACTTTAAGCTCTTTAGTTAACGATTTTCCGAGTATATAAAAATAATGTGAGGAGCTTATATAAACATTAACTCATATGGAATGTGTTCAGAACTTAAAAAGTGAAAGTTTTATAAAATATGTGCATTACATTTATAAGGTACTGTATTTAACCTATTAGTGATGGCTACTTATACTTGAAAAAAAGTGTGTGGATTATAATTCAAGTGCCTTCCACGAATGTTTGCTTATATAATCCCAACAATGAAAATATCTCTTAAATTCGTTTCGTACTCATCGCCATTATTTTCCTTTGCTTAAACTTTAAAATAAATGTTCACACTTATGAATCTATGTAGCGAAGGTTACTGGTATCTTTATTTGTATCAGTGAGGAATCAGCATCGAATAAATCATTTTGAAAGATAAAAAAAACACAATCTAAAAATGTAATACTCTTACGGTTTGAGTTACACGGCAATCTACTCCTTATAGACATAATACACAGATAGCCATGTAAACTTATATAATTCCAACTCTTATCAATAATTTAATTCTAATGGTACCTGTCAAAGTCACCTATCTCGATAAAAGCTTTTATTACATTTCTATCGTACGTTTTTCGCTGCAAACCATTCTATTATTTGTAAAATATTAACGTCAGCTAAAAGAAAAAAAAACCGTCGTTTCGTCGTTAATTATTTAGGTACATAAACATAGATTACGAGCACTTTGCAAGTTTCACAGTTAAACGAATATATCTGTTATTGTTTTCCACCAGAGCCAAATTCATTACTACGGAAACGTGGTATCGTTTTTTTTTTTTTTTTATCGAAAAAAGACAGTTTCACCAGTGCCAGTAGGTACTCGTAAACATACCGCACAGCTTGTATTATGTGTTTTGTTGGTTTTACACGAATACAACGTAATATATTTACAAGGCGATCATTTTAAAGTAACAACACTATGACGTTTGAGCTCGTTCATCGTTTTCGAAATCGATTTTTCCGCCTAGAGCACGTTTTAAACAAACAATAATATTACGCTGCGCATATATTAACAACAACAACAACAACAACGGAACCAAAAAAATAACGGCTAACCGGAGGGTTGTGCGAAAAGATCGTCTGCTATATTTATTTCGAGGTGGTATCGCCCACCACCGCAATATTTGTTTAATAATAGTCCTCGACACGGACGAGTAACTGACTTTTTCCGCCGACTCCTCTCTTAAACAATAGTCGCCGTGCCGTGGCCATAAACAACGCTAAACGAGACGTAACGATATCGTCAGGCACGTGTTGCTTCGGAACCCATTAAAATGTTCGTTTCGCACACAAAATCCCGGCGCGCGCCCGTAGGAAATGACGTCGAAGTCGAATCGTCGTGGACGAACGCGAAAAGATAAGAGCGCAATGATGTTCACGATAAGGGCGCGACAGGATCGCTGGACCGCGTCCGAAATCACCCCCTAACCCCCGCGTACCACTCCGGGACACACTCACCTGGCCGTGTACCGGTCCGTATCGCCGTGGTCCGGGTCCCGGCTCTCGTTGAGCGAGTCGCCGAATACGTCGCGGCACAGGGCCACGCGACCGCATATCAGTATCCGTGGTATCTTGCGGAAGTTGACGTCGGACAGGCCGTCGCGGCCAAACGCGAACGTGCCGCGGTAGCCGACGGTGATGTAGCCGGGCTTCTGTTCGCGGAGCCGCTCGGTGAGCCCGTCCAGTCGGTAGTACGCGGCCTCCAGCCGGAGCCGTTCCTTCTCGCGAAAGCTCTCGGGCAGCGACAGCTTACCGTCCCTGAGGAAGTCCAACACGTACCGGAACAGCACGCCGTCACGGTCGATGAAGTACCGGCCCTTAGTGTCCTTGGGCAGCGGGTCGAGCCGGCCGCTGAAACGGTCGGCCAGCAGCGACGGCTGCGCCTGCACCAGCGTGGACACGGCCGTCGTGTAGAACACGCCGCCCACGTTCAGATCGACCACCTGGTCCATGTCGTGCCGGTCCGGATGTGTCGGTGTCGCTGTCGGCTCGGTGCTGCCGTGTAACCGGCCACGAGCTTATCGCGCGAGTAACACTGCGGTCGCGGGGCACACACTCGCGCGCGCGGCACTGCGGACGGTACACGTTACGCGATGTGACTGCGACAGGCGGGACCGTGCCAGTGCGACTGCGACCGCGACGACAGGCACGCGCGCTCGCGGGGGTCGTCCCGAACTAAACGTGGCGATGTTGTGTGTCGGCCGCGCGCGCACCGTCCCGTCGTAGCACGCCGCCCGTGCGCGTGAACGTGTACGTGGTGTACGTGGTGTACGCGTACGGGTGACGCGGACTGACCGGAACGCAAAGCGCACGCCGCCGCGGGCACGCACTCGTCGTAACGTTACCGCCGCCGATCGTCTCGCTCTCTCTCGCTCTCGCTCCAACACCGCACCTCGTCCCCGTGCGCCCTATCACCGCTTCGCAGCAACCCGACGTCGTGCCACGACGAGTCACGTGATGGGCGTCCGGGTGGACGGGGCCGCCCGCGTTCTTCGCGTAATCAATATACCCCGCCGCCCCGTCCCGTCGCGATCACGACGCTTGCGCCGGCCACCATCGCCACGGCGTGATCGCGCGCGCCACCGACCCACCCGCCGTCGACGGTGCCCACACTTGCCCCGCGTGCCGTCACGGCGACATATTTCGAGATTTAATTAAAAATAATCGCCACGAGATGCGACCGCGCGACCATTGTCTACTGTAGCGGTAAACGTGTGCGTTCAGGGTGTACGCCCACATACGGTTCCGACCGTGCTACAACCCCCTCGCTGTTGTTCTGGTCACCTAAAAAAGATCCTGCCTGCTTACTGTTGTCGTTCAACTGTTGTTATTTTTGTTTTTGTATACCGATTAGTTACCGTAACTGTTCCGTAGCGATCGTTAGATAATAACCTCTAGTGATCCACGCGAGAAACCAGTCGATGCGATTATAATGATTAAGGCGGTTCTGCCATGAGTTCAAACGCGTTACCTGGTGACAAAATGTAGATTATAATCTAAAATTCAGATTAAACAAAGAGTCGGGATCACACGGGTTTCGGTATACGCCTTCGTCGGGTCGGACATGCTTTTTCTCGGAGGACAATCTTCTCGATCCGCTTGCGTGTAATGCCCGGTACTCGTCGACATTATTCTCGAGAACACTAGTTAAATTAAGTAATAATGACTTGAACCGGACAAAAAAAAAAATTACTAGGATTTTGACATAAAAAATTTGTATTAAACGTAGACGGCTTGTGGTTCACTTTTTTTTTCACAAGTTTTTATTTGTAGTCCTTTACAGCACATTCTGTAAACATAAATAGACCAAACCGCCGTCATGGTGCTGTCCGAGGAAGAAAAAAATATAATAATCTTCTGCACTTCGCACACACGCTGTAAATTTTACTCTAAGATGTGTGTGTGTGTGTGTGTGAATACGTATGGTTTACGCTTACTGGCGATTCTAGACAATGCGACGACGACCAAAAAAAGTCAAGAACAGTTGGCAGAATAGATTACACCCCCGTATTACGTTGGACTCACCCTCTCCACTGACGCACACACTCGTACGTAATACCCATGTATATATATATATGTGTGTGTGTGTGTGTGTGAGTGTGCGTTCGAATATATGTCGCAAGGCTGGATCCTGTGGTGAAAGATCGTATATTATTTTTCTTTTCTCACACGTCCCACAAGAAACTTACTAAATACCGTTTATGCTGTTGATCGAATTCTAACCGTTGGCGAAAACCACATACCGCACGATCGAAACCGTACACTCGGCCACCAGAAACGGACTTAAGAACTATTACATCTACCAATCGTTTTAGAATAAAAGGTGAATCTTGATTGTACAGTATTATATGCACGATTTGTGTAAAAACTAAAACGTTATAAGAATTTTTATGATTAAACGTAAAGCCTACTCCAGCTATACGAGCAGCATTCAAACGTTTTAAGTAAAAAATATGAAATTAAAGTTAAAACTTACAATGCTGCAATATTTTTCTGCTCTCAATCGAGACGTGAAAAATGTACAATTAATATGATAACCTTACAGAAATTAGACTTTAGACACGTGAGTCATAAATAGTTTAATACTGAAATTAAATTGATATTGACTGTTGATCAATATACTTATACCTAACTACCAATGTTAAGATATGGTGTTGGATATGGTATTACGTTCATTAAACCAAACAGTTACCAAATGTCCAAATGTATTATGAGTATATTACATTGAGAAAATACAATATACACTTTTTAATTTTATGTCATCGAAAGGTGATGAAGAGGAGTTGGGTGGATATAATAAGTTTTACTTTGCTCCACTTAAATGTATAAGACTCGGTGCCACTAATCGGACGTTAATTTTCCCTTCGTCATCGAGGAGGTAAAACTTACTCAGAGTGGCTACCTTACATCTTTCCCCTTTGATAACGAAAGACATATGATATGCGTTGACTTCGACCTGACACTACAAGTTGGTGTAGGTGTGAAACAAGAAGCTCTTCAATCATCCTTTTAAGTTATAGCCAAAATCAACGATCACATTGTTAACACCATTTCATCACATTTTTGAAAGTAAAAAAACCGGCCACACAGCTCGCTGCCCTTTTAGAGCGCCCACTGCCCAATACGGTCGGGCCGTAACACGTTTGGATATAGTAGGCCCTAAATGCAACAAGCTTGAGTACATACTTAGTATATAACTTAGTTATACTGATAACTATATACTGATTTTACTAGTTTACTTCCGGATTTAATCTTTCACAATGAATATGTGTAGTGATGTGAGTTTGTATTATACAGTGATATAAAACTGTATTATACAAGGTATACACATGATATACAATTATTTTATACAGACAGTATAAAAAAATAAAAACGAAAACGTTATTTTTAGTTATTTTTAGTAACTCAACTATTAATTTTTTAGTTGTACTTATAGAATGGATCTCCAATAAAGTACAGTATTATTATAAACTAGCTGAATTACCCGTCGTTGCCGGGTTTAAGTATATAAATGTATATAACCTGCCAAGATTAAATTTTGTTAAATCTATTGAAATTTAAATTAATTAAGATTTTTGAAATAATATTTTATACATATTAATTTAGTTTTTAAGATAATGATTATTATCATAACCTATTCGATAAGTTATAGCTTTTGGCGGCAGAAGCTTTGTTCACGATAAATTTTAGCACTAAAGGTTCAAAATAAATGTTTTACTAATAGTTTTTCAATATGTTATCTACAAAACTTCTTTGTAGACAATGTTCTTCACTGATCTATTAGTAGGCGACAAAATCACCAAGCTACTGGGTTAGCTTACGCGTGAGCAAGCTACGTAGAACTGCCCATGTGAAAAACAGTTTTCTCGCAAATCTATTCCTGCAAATTTAAGAGTTTGGCCTTGAGACTTGTTTATAGTCATTGTAAAACAGACTTTCAGGGGAAACTGCAATCGTTTAAATTCGAACGGATGATCATTCGGAATTAAAGGGATTCGTGGTACAAACACAGTTTCCCCTTTTGCACATCCTGTTAAAATTGTGGCTTCTACTATATTGCGATGTAAAGCTTTGACTTAAAACCTGGTCCCATTGCACAGTTTAGGTGGTTTCAAATTTCGCAACAACATAATAGGTGTGCCCACACGCAGAGTAAGCCTATGATATGGCATGCCCGGTGGTTTCAATGAATTTAAAAATTCAACCGGATAATTAGTTGCATCGTCCATGTTGACCACCGTATCTATAGAAGTATATACTTTTTCTTCCCCTTCGAAAGACATCAGCAGTGTATCATTGATAGCCGCCGCTTGGTCATTTTTGGAGTGAGTATAGCACGTTCACACAACCATTCCATAGGCTTATCATGAATATGAGCAATATCTGGATAAATTTTTGATATTAAATCCTGAACCGTAGTTACAACTGTACACAAATTTTCTGGGATAGTTATCATTTCATCAAACGATGGATAATCACCATTGCCAATTTCAAGTAAAAGATCTGAAAATCCACCAGCAAACTTTTCCTCTCCCAAGTGTACCCTCATATTTTTTGACAGTTTGAGTATATTAATCTTAGGCCATAAAGTAGATCTTTTAAGACATGACTTGACTTCATCAGTTCTGGTCCCTTTTGGTACTACTGGTAGAGTCTGCCTAAATTCTTCAGCCAGTAAAACCGTTACACCACCCCATTAACCTTTTATTTTCCCTTATATCCTTTAGAGATCTATTTAAAGCCTCAACACCACCCTTATGCGCCATTGTAATTTCGTCCCACACTATTAATTTTGTATCTTTTAAAACTTCCACAAAATTACTTTGTTTTGATATATTACAAAAGGGAGTGGCCGAAGTTGTTAGATTGAGTGGTAATTTGAATATAGCATGGGCCATTCGACCACCCTCGAGCAGTGTTGCTGCGATTCCAGAAGATGCTACAGCTAAGGCAATTTCGTGAGTACTTCTAACTTTCGCTAAAATCAAATTGATTAAGAAAGTTTTTCCAGTTCCACCTGGAGCATCTAAAAAGTTTATTCGACCCTCATTATTATTAACATTTGTAATAATTTGATTGATATAATTATATTATTTATTTAATTATATTGATAATAATTTGATCGCTACGACAACGACAACGACAAAGCGGCCAAGTACATATAATTTACAGCACGTGGGCATACATTTTATATAAGCAAACGTTTTCGTCACGCACAGCTATAAATATAATATGTAGGATAATCACAATAAACGACAACGGTGCTACCGCGGCTCTATCCGCCGACAACGCGTTAACGCAGACTTAGGACCTTTAGGTTAGGTTAATTAGGTTTAATAATACAAATTACATGTAAAAATTTTCTTTTACCGATTTCAACCCTTTAAATTCAAAATTTCGAAAAATCCTTTCTTAGCGCACGTCTACATCATAATAGCTATCTGTATGCCAAATTTCAGCCAGATCCGTCCAATGGTTTGAGCTGTGCGTTGATAGCAGTCAATCAACTTACTGTTTTATATATACAGATTAAAATATACAATATTATTGTAATCGCGTTAATTTAGAATTCAGGTGTTAAAAATTACTAAAATCAATTTATTGTACTATTATAATACTCAAATATTTTAAATATATGGGTACAATGAAATATTAACATTATATTGAAATAATAAGTATTAAGTATAGTTTTCTCCTTATTTATATTTAAAAAATATGTATTTCTATGTATATCATACATACGTATGTTACCTATATCATAATTGCAAATCGATAGCATAACTAAATATTAATTTGATGAATTTGGTGAATAATTCTTGTATTATGTGTTTTTTTAATTTTTTCTAACTTTTTAGTAATTTTTTTCAGTTATTCCATTTTAAAATAATTCATATTTCATAATTAACAATGGGGTGATAACCTTTGTTAAATTCCTTATAATTTAAGGTACTATAAAGTTCTATACAGTATAATACGATATTATACAAAAAATAAATAAAATACTGTATTTTAACATCACTAAATATGTGTAATCAATGAAAAAAAATATTGACTCTTGACTGAATTAATAGCATATTAGTATAATTACTGTCCCACCCGTATACGCACCGTATACCTATAATATAATACTTTATTTTACGTGTGTATATTTCTTTACAAAATTTGTTATGACTATGCAGCGTATACCCTAGTATACCCTCCAATATATCCCTGATAGACAAAGTGAAAAAAAGTCTAAGAATCTCTAAGATTTTAATTTTTCGAACAAATGATTTTCTATGATAAACTATCAAGCTACACCGAATTAATGAGGTTAGCTAAAATCAGTGAAAATTGGAGAATGCATATCCGACTGCAAACCAGTCATAAGTTTGAATACAAAAAGAAAATAAGACAAAGGGCGTTAAAAAAATCTCGTTCTTTTGATGCCGTTCAATTTTTAAGAATTCGTCGGGAATGTAATTATTTTTTCACAAAAAGGAACACAAATGAGAATACATTCCGTTCGTTGGTTTAGAAGAACTTGAATGATTTTCTTCGCTCCTCTCTTCGTTAATTTGTCCTTAGATATAAATGATTTAAATCATTTTTTTTTAACTAAGAAAATTTTTTTTTAGTCATTCAACTATACGAGGAAAAGGAATTAGTTCCTTTCTGCGAGCCAGGAAATGAAAATAATTTGGTACCAATCTAAAAAAATAAACGTGAACATGAAATAGCTATTTTTATAAAAAAAAACTGTCTAAGCACTATTTGATTGTGAAACGGGTATAACGTGTGCGGAAAAGGATTAAGCAAAAACCAAAATCCTTCATACCACACACTACCTATCCACTCTTCAGTTTTTCGATAAATTTTCATAATCGCATGCGCATGTTCAGTCCTATTTCACTTACGTTGCGAAGATATTTAAATTATTCTGTGTTGTTTTTGTTTTTCACTTGACGAAACGAGATGGTATGAATACATGAATAGTACCTGCTGCTATTAGCCCAGGATATATGGCTTTTAGTAAAATATTCTCTAACAACTAGGTAGATACACGTAGTGAGGTGCATGCGGTTAATATGATATAATATGTGCACGCATGCCCGGGAACTTGAAATATACTACAATAGAACTATGCCATTAAGCCATATTGCATTTTCAACGTTAATCGTTATTTTTATCGTCTCCGTCGCTAGTTTCATGTACTAAACTATATCTAAATCGCTCGTAATGTATATACTATATACATACTTATAAATTATTTGTGCTTAGGTTATGCAATACGTATAGAATTATAATTATAATTATCATATAATAGCTGAATTACCCATCGTTGCCGGGTTTAAGTATATAAATGTATGTAACCTGCCAAGATTAAATTTTGTTAAATCTATTGAAATTTAAATTAATTAAGATTTTTGAAATAATATTTTATACATATTAATTTAGTCATTATCATAACCTATTCGATAAGTTATAGCTTACAACTACCTGAACCTCTTTACAGTTTGGTATTCTGTTGAATACATATAGCATCTCACTTCTCCGAATATTTTACCTTTTGTCAATAAGTTCATGGTCTTTTTGACTTTTAACCGAAACACTCTTGCAATTATATCATGTCGATCATATGATCTTTGACCGGGAAGTAACAGCTCTTTTATCTCGTCCCAGCGAGGATTACATGTAAAAGTAATAAAAAGGTCAGGACGACCGTAATGTCTAACGTAGGTCATAGCATCTTGTGTTCTTTCGTGCATGTACCTTGGCCCACCAGTAAAAGTTGACGGGAGTATAACCATTCGGTCTAACTGATTAGCTTCTATGTCTCGTCGTCCAATCGCATCTTTTAAATCAATATAACTATCTGCACGCAATTTGGCTTGGTTGTTTTTGATGTAATTTAGTCTTTCAGTTTCAATTTTGGCGTATTCATCTACCAAATATTGACTGAAAAGAAAACGATAATTAACTAAATCGTTGTCTTCTCCTTCTCTGACCATTATTCTATAAGAGTAAAAACTTGATGCAGAGACAGTTTTTTTAAGCGGTAACTTGGTTTTTGGAACGCGTTGTGGTATATTGATTGCATACCCATCATCCCCCCCAACAAAACATTAAAGGATACTGCAGTGCGTCGTATGCTCGATGTATCTCACTGATACGGTGAAGCGAGTTACTTCGGTTTTCGAGGATGATGTCTCTTCGATCAAACTGCTGATCTACTAACACTAAAGCAACTTCATTTGCCGTTGATGCATTTATATATGCATTTATATAACTATGCATTATACCTGCCTCTATGTTCTTCTGGTGGTTTTTTATCTGCATGTATTACAACTTTAAATGACTCTGAAGGAGGTATTTTATCGATGGTAAATTGTAATGATCAATTGTAAATTATGCGGTGGCATGCCTAGTAAATTCAATGAGTTTAAAAACTCTGTTGGATAATATACAACTTCAGTAGCATCGCAAACTGTATCTAGATTTGTATGACACCAAGTTTTCTGGTAACAAATTTTGTATCTTGAGATTCAATTCGTTGACCTCCACATTTTTTGCTACTAAAATTGCTCTTTCTGCCAGCCACTCATGATTTGTGTATTGTCTGTGTATACTGGGACATATCTAGTCAATGAGAGCATCTTGCGAATAAATGATTGTGCAGAAATCGTTCGATAATTTTATACATCCCGTTTCATCTGTAGTAACTTTCCCATCTCCAATATCTAACAATTGTTTTGAGAATCTTTTGCACGCAGCTTTTTTTGATTGAATCGAAATCGAAGTATCGAAATCGTTCGCTATCTATCTTTATATATATTTCGACCATGAATTGTTGACAAAGCTTATGCATCGTAAAATAACTTAGTCCTGATCGCGTCTAATCATCAACCGATATGCATAATAATTTTTTGAACTAACATTCTTATTTGTTTTGGCACCTGTTGTGGGATCTTTTTGTTTAATATTTATGCAATACCCGTCATTTACTACCAAAAATAAAATTAATAGTTTTTAAATAGTTTTTAATAGTTTTTTAATAATTTTTTAATAGTTTTATTTAATTTAATTCATTTTCAATAGCGCAGTTATCGACCTGGTCAAAAAACATTAAACCGATTTCAACCCTTTAAATTCAAAATTTCGAAAAATCCTTTCTTAGCACACGTCTACATCATAATAGCTATCTGTATGCCAAATTTCAGCCAGATCCGTCCAATGGTTTGAGCTGTGCGTTGATAGCAGTCAATCAGCTTACTGTTTTATACAGTGGCGTAGATACAATTTTTTTCTGGGGGGGGTTGTTTAAGAGTAAGTTCTTAAGTGTTCTTAGTATATCTTAAAACGAGGTCATATGTAATAATATTACATTTAAAATGGTATTATTATTATGTCCCGTATTTAATGAAAATTATTTTGTTACTCAATTTTTAATATATACCTAATCATAGTAAAATCAAAATATTTTACTATAATATGTAAATATTAATAAATAATAATCAAATATCAATAAAAAAAATTTGTGGGGGGAGGGTGGAAACCCCTTACACCCTCCCCGTAACTACGCCACTGGTTTTATATATACAGATATCCTCTCATTTTACATACCCTATGTTACGCACAAAATGTGCTTCGTGCTCATACCATATGTGTACAGGGTAAAAGATGATTAATCAATTACGTGTCAAAACTGTATAACAATCAAATATAATAATAATATTTTTATTTTTATTTTTATTTCGTGGCTCGAGATCAAAAATGAACACGTGTTTCATTCAAATAACTTATTGTTTCATTATATTTCTCTGATTCGTAAGCAGTTATTCGTAAGCAGTTATAATGGAAATATTTTCCTAAGAATTTTTATTTTTATATTTTCGTTTTATGACAATTTCGTTGTGTCTTCAAAACAAACTGATTGCTATGAAAAATAATTTAAATTTCAATTAAAATCAGTCACGGGTTTTTTTGCAACCCGTAATAGTTAGATCTTGGTAATAGTTCCAACAATATATTTTAACACTTTTAAAC